ATATTAAATGGTTCGGTTTTCTTGACTTCGATAGATTGTAAAGCATCATATCCTATATTTTTTTTAATGAGGAAAATACATCAATAGAAGTATATTAATTGTAGATACTTTGTTTGGAATAACATGATTCCGTATCAGGACTAAGTAGTGAATTTAAGCTCCTTGCATGCACCTTTCATTTTTAAAAATCCGAACTGCATCCGAACTTAGCTTCTCCTTACTAATTTTATTATAGAATTAAATCCCAGATAATAAAGCTCTGTCTGAGTAATTACAATTACAATATTTACATAAACGCCATAACAGTTTGTTACATCAATAGAATTAAAATATTAGCGGCATTTCTGTTATGAATCGTTATTAATACAGAACAACTTTATAAATGAGATAAGAGAACTGAGAGTAATTGATGTATGCAGTCTCTCGTATTCTCCAACGCCGCCTCGTTAGTGTTGTAACTGGTATCATTTTGACAAGAGGATAGCGTGTCTTCTCCAACGTAGAAGTTGTATCAAGTTATTTTGATTGTATGTGCTTTTGAAAGCGGTTACAGATTGTTGCATTGTAATTGATATTCTCCTAGGTTTGTCCTATGGTGAATATTTGATAGGAATAATAATTATTTTGGTTAAAAATATACCAACAGCTCGTGGCAAAATAGTATTATACTTGTGATCTTTAACAGGTTAATTTTTTTATTTTTCATGCGAGATTTAGGAGCACAGATCGCAAAATCTTTTTGGCCAAAGATCGTTCGTAAGATATCCATTAAGTTCTGCCTTCAGTATGGCAGGAAGAAAACGAGGTAGTAACATCTGAACTTCCTTACTAATTGACGCACGTTTGCGAGATTAAAGCTGAAAAACTTGGAAGTTCAAACTTCCAGATATCCCACTGGGGGAATATAAATTTAGTGTCTAAGCAAATTGATATTGTACCCAGGGCGCTTTGCCGACTTGCAAGATCAGACACAGAAATTATTTATTTTAGCTTCACAAACGACTGCATATTATAGTCCAAATGCGATCATCATTTTGAGGATCAGCTATCGAATCTATCCGAACCTTATAAAAATATAATCTAAATTGGCCCCTTTGACAGTTAACCGAACCTTTTGTAAAGTGTTCCTTTTAAAAACATTTTGAATTCCTCAATTTTTCAAATTGCAGACTTCTGAGTTTTTAAAAACGATAAATTTTTCCTCGAAAATTATAAATCTCACATTTTTATTTCTATTGGATATAAATGTAAAATGAGCTGCGATATAACCGTAATTTCATTTCTGAAATAATATTGCAGTCTTCATTGTCATCCTTTCTCTTCTTTTGTAGAGAACTCTACCTCGTATAAAATATACACTTGCTTAGTCTGTTTCAAAGAGTTGTTGTTTACCTTTCGCTGTTTCATCAATTTTATCACTTCCACTACTGGTAGTGTTATCAACTGGTTGCGAATTGGCGGTATTGTGGATGGACATTTTCGCGGCAATAACAGTTTCAAAAGCGGATAAATCACAATAGAGATCAATTTTAAAATGAATTGTATTAATCGTAGTAAAAACTCCATTTAAAAGAAAAAAATTATTTAAATATATTTTTTTTTTATACATGTGTTGTTATACACTCAGTAACGTATGCCAATTCAAGCAAACTTAAAATATAAACCAACAAAAATATGCTATATCAATGATAAAAATGGAGAAAGAGAAGTCAACAATGAAATTACGTAGTATTGCTAATCGCGCCCGTTTAATACTTCTACGAATGAATGACAAAAATCTACTGATCATAACATCCCAACTAAAATTCCCCTCAGGCGCGACGCTACAATAATGTCAACGTGTGAGATACTCTACCAGCGGAAATTTAATCACAGTGCACGTACTTGTATTAAGGATGCACATTTGGCGTTTAAATTAAAGAAAAATTATATATTATTTTCTTTTTTACTATATTATATTATTTGTGTGAACTATTTTATTAAAAATAACTCTTTTTATTAAAAATTCTAGAAATATTAAATCTATTTCATTGTGGAATTTTTTCAGGCAAAATATGAAATCAAAGATGTGCTGAATTACATTTATGTTGACATTGCACAATTTATTTTTCCAGCCATTACAGGTTTTTTTATTTTGTTCTAGTAAAGCCATAATTTCAGCGTTTTTTAAAAATTAAGTTATTAAGTCTATAAATATTATCATAGTAACTTGTCTTATTACTCAATTATACTCGTACACTTGTGACACTTTCTACTTTTCTAGTGTAGTTTTCGATGATACAAACAACCGTTAGGTTTATAAAACTGTTATACTTTGTAGCAGCATGTTGCAACAGTATAAAATCTTTACGATGAACTTGAACTTGACTGAGAGTAATACTATCGCCGATATTAGCTTCCTCGATCATAATAAAAACTTAAAGCAAGGTGCGCATATTTCAGTCAACGTATCGAACTGCATTCTATGGCAGTGTCGGGTAGGCGAGATAAGTTGTACATTTACTCTTGTCACATGTAAAATTATACCAATTTTTGAATATTCTAAATATTAATAAACGAATTTGCCAGAAATTAGAGAAGAGTCAAGCATATGTATATTTAATAACATATTACACCTCTAAGCTTTTATAAGTTTATTCAATGTTTATTTTTTCTTATCAGGATAAAATAAATTTCAGTCATTTACTCGAAACACCCAAAATCTCAGCCGGTCTTTTAAGTCGTTTCCAAACACGATCGTCTGTTTTCGGCATTTCTAACAGCTAAATTTTGGCTTGTCTATATTTAACCATACCAAACGATATTTAATCAGTTTGAAGTTCATAAATTTATATATAAATAGTTAAAAGTGCAGCGAGTTGATAAGATTGTCAGTGTAACAAAGTTGAGAACTTTTCCTTGAGTTCCGCAATTATAAACAAATAAAATGGAAGAAACTATTACTTCTTATCTATAAACCAGTACTCAGACAGATATGGATGGAGTTAACGCACATAATAAGATTCCGAAAATAAAATACTAAGACTAAAATATATCTCATACAATAACCACCAATTTTATTAAGGTAACTGACATATTGGCCGATATATGCGGTATAAAATCACCTGAAAGTTCGAAAACCTTTATAATAGGTATATGGGAGGGAAGTATTGACCCGATTCAACCCATCGCACTATATATCAAGACAGATTGTCTGCGAATTTCAATTATAAATCTCACACTGTAACAAATATTTTCGGTATTAAGTCAACTAAAGGTACTGGGGCTCATATATTCGGGTCTCGAGAAATATGTTTTTACTTAAAAGTGTGCGATGTCACGCCCGTTGCCCAATTTTACCCCGGTTCCCACAAAGGCTTGTAATACCATTACACTGGCAGGTATATGCCATGCTGATCCGATATCTGCTTTTCTGACATTTGCATGTTGTTTGGATCCCAAAGTGCTTGCCTTTCATCGGCCTTTTTGGGCAAGGAAACAAAAAGGTCCGGGGAGCCACATTTGGGCTTTAGGGCTGTTAACAAGAAAGGCGGTATAAAGATAGGGCGTAGTCGTGGTGCAATTTCCAATCGGCTGTGATGTCTGGTCGAACCCGATTGATCCTTCGTTTGAGTCTCTTGAAGACTTTCACGTAAAATTTGGCGTTGACGTTCTGGTGCCATCGAAACACACCACTTCCTGCTAAAGCGACACCTGGGTAAGCCTGCTTGTTCATATCAAACGTCTCTGTCGCAGATTTACCGAGTTGCACACAGAATTTAATCGCGTACCTCTGCTCTAACGAACGCAGCATTTTCGGCTTGCACCACTCACAGAAACACGTCGCGCGAAAATGTTACTGATCAGCCGCTCGGTTTTTAGCTAAGAACGCCCTCTACCGAATCCAGTCAGCGCGCGCACGCTCCGAAGTACAGTCGCAGCGGAAGAAAATCTGCCCTATTACTTTCCGGACAAACCCTGTATATATATTATAAGTTATCTGACGTTCCGGTCTGTGTGTTAAAAACTTAATGTATCTAGTTGATAGTATAAACACAGCCGGATAAGGAATGTGAAAGCTCCGCAGTCGGGATTCGTGTTGGTCGTCTTCTTTGAGTCCGTAATTATACAGAATTCATTGAAAAATGGCTCAGAAATTTATTTTAGCATGCTCCTTGATTATAAAATCAGATGTCTTATTTCATTAGTATTGCAGTCGTCAAAACTTTAATGGGCTTAGCGTATATCACGCTATACATATATGTATATTGAAATGCACTAATGAAATGAAATGGCTGAAAGAAAAGCTTTCGTACGAAATTAGTTCCTATCTGAAAGTTGTACTGTCGGTGCCTAAAAAACAAGAGAGCGAACAATGACTTCTCTTACTTTGATAGATTTACAGTCGTAGAACTAAGTCTCTGTTCTAAGCCTCAAAAATCGTCTGTCTTGGATTTCATACACATTCAAAAATTAAATTGAAACTCTTGGAAATCTAATGTTCAGTGCAGTTTATTTGACAACTGCAGGTATACGAGTATGTTACATGTTACCCGATACCTACGGTTACAACAAATAAGCAGCTTCTTGGCGAGATAGTGACGTCTGCGGAATTTTAAATTGATATCTCAAAAGGTGAGCGATTAGTTCGCGGATATCTAGAGGTACTGACGGACAGGCACACGCACATGACCAAATCGACTCAGCTCAGTCATGCTGACGATAAAATTTGTATATATATATTACAAATATCGTGGCAAACTTATTAAATATTAAGGGTATAATGATAAAATCAAATGTGACGAATAACGTATTAAGCATGAACATTTAAGTCAACAGAGCACCACAAAAGGAAACAAAAAATAAAAAATAAATAAATAAAAAGATAAAAAAAAATGTATTGGTACAAAATATGTTACGTTAACCCTGCACTTAATACGACCCTGGGTATAAATATAAAAATATAAATATGTACTTATGGCTGTTTAAGTATAAATAAGAACAGACTTGTTATCCTTATTTATTTTCTAAAATATCTGTATTTATCTACAATTTGAATCATTGAATCTGAATGCCCAATATTGTTTTATAAATTATGAACAAATACCCTATCAATTAATTAATTAACATTAATTAATTACATTTACGTAAAATACTATCAAATCAACAATATTCGTTTATTCTAATGGTTCAAGCTGGTGTGGTGTTGGTATAACCCAACCACCGTATGCCGCTTCCAATTCACCAGCAATTTGAAAGCATAGCTTATCTTTGTAGGGCGCTGCGACCACTTGAAAGCCGACCGGCAAGCCGTTATCATCGTGTCCCATGGGTATATGGGTAGTCGGAAAGCCAAGTATATTGAATATCATGCAATAATCGACATTACTAAGAAACAATATCGAAGAATTATGATGGATTGCAGGTACAGGAAATGTAGGGAAAAATAAAACGCCATTGTTGCCGAGCATTTTCTAAAAAAGAAAAAATTATAAGTAATGTTAAAAGGCATTATTCGAAAATATTAATAGATTTACAGCAAACTTAGTTTTCAGCATCTCCGCTTCAGCTTTGTATTTCAATATATTTTCCATGCGCATTCCGGCGTTAAAACGTCTCATGGACTCAAAGTATAAAGCGTCTCTGGTGTATTCCGATTTGCCTAATATTGCTTTACCCATTTCAGTTAAAAATTCATTTAAATTTTGTTTCTTTGATGTGTTAATTAAATAAGGAAAGTCTTCTAAGAGTACCAAACCGCCGAGCGATATTTCGAGTGAGTTTCTGAAATCGTTCATAGATGCCCGTTCAACTTCACAACCACGACTCTTTAAGTACTTTAAAGCAGTCAAAATTGAAAGTGTCATTTCTGTTTCGGGCGATTTATGTAAAACACCATTAAGCCCATCAAATCCAAGTGCGTAAAAAATCTGTGAGATATTAGTAATTAACTGACTTTTGTTTCGAAAGAAATACTTATCATAGTACGAGGTGTGTTCAAAAAGTATCGCGAATTTTGAATTTTCGCGGGTTACGTATATTCGAATTTCGAATTTGTCTATGTCTCTCACTTATGCCGACAAGCTTGGCCATTTTGAATGATCATTTAATTCCTGACAGCTGCTTTGCTTGCACGTGTTTTGGATCGTCTTCGATTTTTACCTATTCAAAAAAATGGATCAAAGAACCTGTATCAAATTTTGTGTGAAAAACGAAATTAAGTGCGCGGATGCATTCCGAATGTTGACTGTGGCATACGGAGAAGCTACCTTGGGAGGAAGCAGCGTTTATCGGAGGTACAAAATGTTCTCAGAAGGCCGAGAAGATGTGACAAAATTTGGTTTTTGCACCACGATAACGCCCCTGCTCACACATCGTTGCTTGTGCGCGACTTTTTGGCCGAAACCAACACACTAATGATGCCGCAGCCACCGTATTCCCCAGATCTGGCCCCCTGTGACTTTTTCTTGTTCCCTAAACTGAAGAGGCCCATGAAAGGACGACGTTACGATTCTCTTGACGAGATAAAGACGGCATCGAAGGAGTAGCTGAAGAAGATAAAAAAAAAAAAATGATTTTTTGAAGTGCTTCGAAGATTGGAAAAACCTTTGGCAGGAGTGTATAGTATCTCATGGGGATTACTTTGAAGGAGACAAAATAGATATTCATGAATAAATAAATAATTTTTGAAAAAACACAAAATTCGCGATACTTTGTGAACACACCTCATATACTGTACAATATTCTACCTTAATATCTTTTGTTTCAACCGGTGTGAGTAGATCTAGTTTTTCAGCATTTTTACCGGCCATAATTTGCGTTAGTACGCCTAAGTCACGACCAAATCGTGTGATTGGACCCAATTGAAGATACTCAAGGCAAACTTTATCTTTGGAGTCTGGAAAATGCCCTTCTATTGAAGTAATGCCGCCTGTGGGCTTATGACCGAAGACGCCATTGAATAAACTCGGGAATCGTATGGAGCCAGCAATATCGGAAGCAACACCAAACAAGCTTGCGCCCGCACCATTCAGAGCACCCTGTATAAGAGAAAGTGCATAAAAAGTATATATATATTTTTTTTTTTGCTATTTACATACTTCTCCACCGGATGATCCACCTGCTGTACGTTTATTGTCGTGTGGATTTACGCAACGTTTCTGTGTTGCTGGATTTGTTTCCATGCTAAAGCAGTATTCTGGTGTTATGGAGACCAATAATGGTATACCCCCAGCCGCAACCACATTATTCACCACTTCACCATGGGCGGAGCTTATCAGATGAGCACGTTGACGGCTACCAACACGGATGGGCATGCCTAAATAATTTTTATTATCATTAAAGTCTTAACAGATAAGATTCTTTACTAATATGTTGTTACCTTTCAATCCGCATGATTCCTTTACCGTAAATGGTATACCCAATAAGGTATAGCGTCTAAAAAGTGCTGATAATTGTTCGCCTGTGGCTTTTGCGATTAGTCCATCGGCGCGCTCGGCATCTTCCAGCGCGCCTTTGAAACGATCTTGCACAATTGCGTTGATATGAGGATTTACCTCTTTGATACGTTCAATGTAAGCTTTCACCAGATCCACAGATTTTAACTGAAAAGTTGTCAGTTCAATGACAAGACGTTTAATTAAAGTGGTTCAAGTAAGTTGATACAATATTCAAATATATAGTCCCACCTCGAACAGTGTGCAATATTAAGAAGGACAACAGTGGTATTTGTATTAGGATAATGTGTTATTTAACAGAGATATGCCCGACAGTTTTGTTAACTGCTCTGGAACTTATAAGGAGTTTGTCAAATTTAGAATCTTTACGTCAGGGCATGAACATGAAAGCAAATAGGTGGCTACAGTAAATATACTAAATATACTTGTCACTATGTGGTTTTCGAACATCGAAGAAGTATAGCTATTAGATCGCCCCTCTGATTTGCTTCAAGACTTATACTGAAGACGGAAATTACAAAAGTACGGAGAGTTTGTTTATAAATAAGATTTTGTGTGTTTTTGCGCATAAATTAATAAAAGTTCGATAAACACAAGATACGTTAATAAATCTAAAAAGACCTTTGTCCAATATTTGCTTATTATTATTTGCAATAGTAAATAGTATTAAACGTTTAGTATCGTAAAAAACTACAGTAGTGTAATACTGATAATAAAACTTAGCACCTTCTTATTTATTCTATTATGCAATTAAATTATTGTACAGTCAGAAAAGCCTCGTGTAATTACAATTATTTGCATAAACGTCATGACAGTTTATTACTGTATTGATACATGTATATAAATGGGGTAAGGAACTGTACAGATTAAAGTCGATAAGTTTAGATACCAAAGACAAAATAATGATAGTATGTAACTCATTGGAAAAGGAAATGAACACAAAACATATATCAATAGGAAAGGAAAAGTAAGTTACAGGTAAGAAAGTATTTGAGTTGAGTGTTTACAGAAAATATCTACACATTTCGTATTTACATTATTTTCTCATAACCTCAAAATGTATGGAAAAATTCAAACCACACCATAATTTTTTGGATTTAAAGCATTTATTTTTTCCTCCTTATATTCAAAAAACTCAGATATCGGTGTCCTGCTTTTTTCACAGCTGCTACTAGCTTTTTTTTATTGTTTACCTGCTTCAAAGTCTTTATGTTCTTGTAGTGTAATTGACATATCAAGTGTCTTGAATTCTTCTAACACCGCCTCGTCGTTTTAGAGGAGATAGCTTGTCTTCTATTTGTTAGTGGTTATGGGTTTTAGGCAAGTAATCTAAGATACTCGAATATAATATTCTACCTAAAGGAATTAGTTTCGTTATTTATACAGTTTTTTTCAAAAATTTGACTAAAAACGTAAAGTTTAAAATAAGTTTTCTTGCCTAATATCGTCTGAGCAATGGTTACAAGCTTTAAGGGCTCTCAAGAGTGGTTAAAATTTCGATGGAGAATATTTAAAAAATATTATAATTCTTCAGGTTAAAACCACCAACAACTAAATAAACAGTTTGCGCTCCATAAAGATGTTTAATAGTGTATGTTTTGGTTATTTGGTGCTGGCTTTGGGATCACCTTTATTGTGACAGGGAATTTTTATTTTGAATATGTGTTTTCTTATTAAATTGTTAGAATATTACGTATGGGTTACCAGGGTCTGATCTTATACAAAATTATAGTTGCATTTCACAGTTTTTGGCAAGTGTACATGTGTGGACATGTCCACGCCTATTAATTGTTTTAATGTACATATCTCCGAAACCACTAAAACTACAATGACCAAAAATCAAAATCGTATTATAATCCCGCTTACTCTCTATACAGAGATAAAGTTTAAATGTATTAAAAGCGCAATAAATCAATAACACTATTTTTTTATCGCCGAGATGTATTGAGACCGCTTGTTCAAGCCACTATGTACCGAATAGTAGACTTTTACCCGAAAATTTCGGTCAATGTGTAAGATATATAATTGAAATCCATAGATAGTATTTCCCAATAATAGTATGTGTGTTTGTCAAATATTGTTTGCATCGGTTCAATAATTCTCTTAGCTCCCATATACTTAATATAAAGATGTGCGAACTTCCAGGGTAAACATCTTAATCTTATACAAAATATTTTAAAATTAATATGAATATCGTATTTTCATCTCTTCCTGTGCACCAATTACACGTGAGCCCTCATTTTAGAAAATATATGTATTCGGTTATTATGTTATTAAATGTTTATAACATTACACACTTATAACATTTTGCTTAAACTGCAACAATCCACAACAGTACAAATTTCGATCAATCACATTTATAACGGATATTGTGTTTGACACTACGGATATATAATAGATTTTGTTCTAACAATACTAACATTCAAACTTAGACTGTTCGAAAGAGTTTTTGTTTACCTTTCGCTGTCGCATCAGTTTTATCACTTCCACTAATGGAAATGTTACCAACTGGTTGCGAATTGGCGGTATGGTGGATGGACCTTTGCGCGCCAATAAAAGGTTCAAGAGCGGATAAATCACAATTGAGATCAGTTTCAAAAAACATTGTAATAAACGCAGTAGGAACTCCATTTTTAATTAGTTTTATTTATATTTATTATCTGTATGTGTATTTTTATACACTCAGTAACCAATGCCAAGTACGGCAAACACAAAATATTAAGCAACAAAAATATGCTAATAAATAAAAAATAGAGAGAAAGAATGCAACACCGAAATTGTGAGTATTTTTAGTCGCGCGCGTTTACTACTTCTGCGAATGAATGAGCGAAGCCTACTGAACGCAAGACCCCAATTGGAATTCACTTCAGGCGCTATGCTACAATAATGTCAACGTGTGAGATACTCAACAAGCGAGTAATTAAATCAAAGTGCAAGTATTAGGGTTGTACATTTGACATTTGAGAAGACAATTTCAAAGAAAAATTTTGTGATGTTTAGGTGTTTACTTTTTCAATAAGCTTGGCCATTTTTTTATGTACGTTTACGCATATTTAGTAAAGAAACTTAACTTATGAAAAATACTAAAAATTACAGTTTTTACATCTAATAAATAATAAAGATATAAATATTGTTCACTATATAAAACTACTTTTCTTCTTTTATTTTGAAAGTTTTATTCCAGGCAAACATGAGTTCGAAGACGTTTCAACTACCTGTGAAGTTTGAACGACCGCTTGCCCGAGTTTGTTATTTTGCATTTTCATTCCACTTTGTTTGGTTTAACTTTCGAAATTTTTTGAAAAAAAAAAAAATTAACATCCCTAATGCACGCTCATCACCACATTTAAGTGATAAGATTGTCGGCACAGTTAAGTTAAGCTTTTAGAGAGCACATACGAACGAACTTAGAAGTTTAAATAAAACATCTTTGCGATGAACTTGAAAATGAGCGAAAGTGAAAACAGCGCCGGCAATACCTTAAGCGATCGTAGTACTCGTACATACGTAAAATTATGTGCTCATATTTCTTGCCCGTTTAATACAATTCCAAGTGACAACGTTGCTATGGTAAATTTTTTTTATCGACTAAATTATACATTTATTTGAAATACTTCATAATAGTTGTGATTCTCCAAACATTGGAGAGTGTCTAAGCGAACAAACAACTGGTATAAATGTAATTGTGCAGATCTCTCCACTTTCCATATCTGAGAACTTACATATATTCGGTTGGTTAACTTATCGGATCTATAGTAGCTTTTCTGCTATCGGTCTTCCTATCTGCTGCTTTCCTACGTTTTTATATTTAAACATACTGAAAAATGTTAAACAGTTTGAAAACCCTAAATTAATATACATATGAAAAATATATGGCTTCTAATCTACGGATAAATGCAGCGGGTGGATAAGGTTGCCGGTATAATATAGTTAAATACTTAAGGAACCTACAATAAAAATAACAAAACAGCAACGGGAAAAAACTACAAAGAGATTTATAAAAAAAAAAACCTTTTTAATGAACTTAAAAATAAATAATAGTCATATTGGCAGCAGCAAGAGCGTATACGCCCATAAATAATAAAATAAGAAACACCCTTATTGTTTTTGGTAGATGAGAGCTTTCTTCTGATAATATTTCGAATAATATACTTTTAGTTTCGAAGCCATAGATTTTTATATGATGAAGGACTGTGAATTCGGCAGAATTCGTAAAAATTATTTGAAGAAAAAAATTTCATTTGGGGATGTAGAAAAAAAGTTTATAGTAGCTGTTCAAAAATAATGAAGAAATTCGTGATATAAATATTGGGTAGTCGTATTTCTAATCAAACTTAAACTTATTTTTATATTTATAATAACAAATAAATAAATAAATATGTACCAATTTGGTCGACCACTTTTTGCCATTTTTCCGTTAGAGATATTATCGAAATTTCCAGAACGGAAACAAACGAACCATTGTTGTGCTAAACGAACTGATAGAGCATCGTTTATCAACTTCCCCGAATTCAATTCAGTTTTTTTGGTTAAATGAAGCTTAAAGTCTTACTTTTCCAACACTGGTATGAGCCCATGTGATTTTTTAGCACTAGATATGCGACGGCACCGACATCTATTGACAAATACGAAAAGACTCTTCCGACTACCCAATAAACACAACTTTAGAGACGTGAGTATATATTTTTTATTTTTTTCTTGGAATGGACATTTCAACAAAATTTTCTGCATAAAGGATGTTATTTTTTAATATATTATATTACTTTAAATTCAACAAAAATTTCTTACTTGAAAATGCAGTAATATTTTCGAACTATTTAGATGCTTTGTATTGCACTTGGGTTTTGTATCGAGCTTAAAAGTGAATTTTCGTAACTAGTAATGATTATTATAAAATAGTAAAAAATACTAGATATCCGGTTTTCCACTTTAAAATACACTTTTCGTTTGAATTGTTCCTCGCAGAATATTGACGCTTTAATAAACTAAGGCTCCACGGTTTCATTGTTGGTACTCACTAAATCAATGGTCATCAAATGCTTGAAAGACAAGCAAAGTTGGAAAATTATATTCTAAAATCGGGAATTTCGGGCTGTTTTCTGCGTGTCTGTTTACTTACTTTACCAAAAATATTCAGAAAAACTATAATGCGTAAATAATTATTTTATTTTTAGAAAATTTGTTTTTTTTAGCTTTGCTAATTTTATTTAAAAACTTGTTCTATAAAACATTTCAGTAATTGTTACTAAGTTTTATTCAATATTAACTATTACAACCTGTAAGAGTGAGCGTTACTAGACATTTTGATATCAAATCAAATTTGAAGCTCAGATAAACCTTAAATAAGTATTTCTGCTTACAGTATGTTATATCTAAAAATGTAAAGAGAAGAGCTTATGAAGAGAACATTAATAGTTAAAGCCATTAATCATCATCAATCGTAACTACTAACGTAAAAAGGGAAAAAGAGATAGAGTGACAGAGCTTAATCCCAAACTAAGTACATGAGTGCACAGAACCCAAAGCTTCTGCTATATTGGAAACTATGTAAAGCTTTATGAATTTAAACTAGAACCACATTGAAAGCTTTTAACAGCTAATAACATTCATGTTTTTATATCATGCTGCAGCGGTGGCACCCAACCGCCGAAAGCACCCTCCAATTCTGCGGCAATCTGTAGACATAGTTTATCTTGATACGGCGCAGCGACAACTTGAAACCCAATCGGCAAGCCTCTATGATCCAAGCCCATTGGCACATGTGTGGCGGGGAAACCCAATATGTTGAACATAAGCATTAGATCCACGCCTACCAAGTTCAACGTGCTTGTATAGAAGCCAAATGCGGAGGTGGGAAATGTGGGTAAAATGAGAACGCCATTGTCACCGAGCATTTTCTGCAAAAAAAAAAAAAAAAAAAAGAAATAATAAATAAATAAATAAACAAATATAGTTGTTAAATAATTTATTCAATGGTTTTATATAAATGAACTTACCACTAACTCATCCTTCAGCGCTTCTCTTTCGGCACGAAATTCTGCTGCTTGCTCATCGGTTAGGTAAATTTTCTTCGTTCTTATCCATTCCATTATTACAGCGTCACGATTGTGTACAGATTGTCCAAAGAGTGATAAAATTAGCTCCCAAATAAGCTTACTTACTTCTGGCTTGGCTTCATTTGTTATGCTCGGTATGCCTTTCAGTTCGGCGAGAGCGCTTAAACCAATTTCTCTGGCGTGCGCGAATTTATCCAATTTAATCTATTTTTGTTAATTTTTTTTAGCGAAGATTATTATTTTTTTTTGATGTCACAGAATATAAGTAAGAATAAGCAAAGACTGTAGAGACAGATATGGGAACTAAGATAGCATATTCGCATGTTTTTAATGATTTAAAAGTTTTGAATTTTCCTATACTAAAGATGTTCTGGAGAGATTATAGTAATAGCAGCTCACGACTTAGGGTCTTAGACCAACTATGCTCTGGGTAGCCAAAAAACATCAGTTTGAAGGCGAGCTAAAGTCAAAGGCGATACAATGGAACTCGCCACGTATAAAAAGACCCCAATGAAAAGATCAGAACAGCCTCGAATGAGAGACCTCACTTTTTATGACTACGTGAAACGTGTTAAGGATTACGATTTAAGTGCATGCACCTGAAATGTCCGGTCCCTTAATTGGGAAGATGCCGCTGCCCAGTTGGTTTAATGTTCTCAAAGCGAAGTTCTTCATCATATCGCTGATTTACGCCCACGTCCCGACAGAAGAGAAAGACCATGGTACCAATGATGTTTTTTATGAGCGCGTGGAACGTATGTTTGGTCGGTACATTCAGCCTCCATGATGAAATATTCTCAAGTGGGTTGAGGGTGATCGCCTTCCCCGGGTTATCTGTATTACTAGATTTCAGAAGAGGAAAATTCTAAGGCTCGAAAAGTCACCAGACAGATGGATCATATTGTGATAAACGGAAGACACATCTCCAGTTTTCCCAGGTCCTAGTATTGACTCGGAATTCAATTCGGGATATGTGACGAGATGTCAAGCTCCTTACTTACAGCTGCAAACTAAACCAATGGTCTGGAGAAAACAAAAGAAGAGTTGATACGATGAGGAGTGCCGCGTCGTAGTGGTGAGAATCAGATTCTCTACCTCGCAACGTTACAAACGACAACAAAACGTGTGAGATTGGCAAGATACCGAGAGTTGAAGAGGGAAGCGAGACATTTGCAGACAGAAAAAGAGAGAGGCAGAAATGCATGAGTATGAAGAGCTTGATAAGCTGGCCGACAGAGGAACTGCTAGAAAACTTTACGAAAAGTTTTGGCGACTAACAGAAGATTTCAAGACCGGAGCATTTAGGTAAAATCAATAATAAAATTGGTTTCATCAAAGTGTTATAACCCCTTATTTTCCTTCCTCTCACTAGCAATAGATGTCATAACGAAAGAAAGGTTATATAAATTAAATTTCTTGCCTGCTCGGTGGTAAGTCCACCTTTTTGGAAACATTTCACCGCTCTGGTTATGGCCAATTGAATGTCGAAATCAGTTGGCTGGTGCATGAATGCTGCAAAACCCTCAAAACCATAGGCATAGTAGATCTGTAAAGGAAATTTATATATACATATAT